TCACTAGATCTATCAGTTTTTTTTCAATCGTCAAAAATAGAAATTATATAATAGATCATGAAGATCATGTAATACATACTGATAAATAAAAGTAAAAATCCATTTCTATTGCCAGAGTAAAAACGGTAAAGATCTGACATACTTCTGTTTTTTTTTACTGGATAAAAAACGAAACTATGTCAAATCTTTTAAAAAATGGATTTTTGCTAAAGTAAAACCAGGTTTCTTATATAGATTCATTTTTTATTCAGTAAAAAAAATGGAAGTATGTCAGATCTTTTAAAAACTATTTTTACTCCAGCAATAAAAATGGATTTTTACTAAAGTAAAACTGGGTTTTTTGTATAAATCCATTTTTCATTCAGTAAAAAAATGGAAGTATGTCGGATCTTTTAAAAACCATTTTTACTCTGACAATAAAAACGGATTTTTGCTAAAGTAAAACTGGATTTTTTGCCTGATATGTTCGAAAATTTTTTTTACAGGACAAGATCATTTTGATCAAATTTGCACATAATAGTGCTGAATTTCGTGACATCCAGACAAAGATCATAATTATGCTCTAAACATGACTTTGTTATTACGAATTCTTGGGCTCTTTTGCGATAATTTACTCCTACAAAAAAAGGACACCCAGTTCGCTTGGTGGTATGTTTCTCATTCTTTTCACCATACTTCCCTTGTTTTTCACAGACAAAGAATACCTGCCTATAGTCACTACCGTCAGGATTTTTGAATGTCTTTCCTAAAATTAAAACAGCATTAGTTTTTGCAACATATCTTTTGATAACCACGTGGACTTCAGCAAACGTAGGGAAAACGTGTTCAGTTTCTGGAATATCAGTTTCCATTATAGTGACAGGTAAGTGGGCTTTAGCAAATGCAGGAAAAATGCATTCAGTTTCTGAAATGTCAGTTTCCATTATAGTGACAGGTAAACAAACTTCAGCAAATGCAGGAAAAACGCGTTCAGTTTCTGAAATGTCAGTTTTCATTATAGTGACAAATAAACAGACTTCAGCAAATGTAGGGAGAATGCGTCCAGTTTCTGGAATATTAGTTTCCATTATAGTGACAGGTACATGTAAGTAACCACGTTCTGTCAGTAGCAAAAAAATTGCTTGTATCGTTAATAGCGATAAAAAGTAGTAATAGCAGAAATTTAAAGACATATTATATAGCGATAGTATATATTTATCAGTTAATTATCAACCAATCAGAATTTATGTGTTGATGTTGAACAAACATATTGAGTGAATAGATCATGTGATAGAAATTAGCCAATCAGAATTTTGATATACACAATCTGATGTACAAAAAAAATTGCTGAATAATATTTCTTCTATTTCAATTACTTTAATAACTTTTAAGAGTTATTCTGGATTTCTATTATTGCATCGATAAAGTGTTTGATTTTTATAAAGTAATGTTTTACTTTATTTCTGAATTTTTGTTGTTCTTTTACTGTTAGATTTTCTGGTAATTGTAAT